GTAGTTAGTAGTTAGTAGTTAGTAGTTAGTAGTTAGTAGTTAGTAGTTAGTAGTAGTAGTAGTAGTGGTAGTAGTGGTAGTAGTGGTTGTTGTAATAGTCGTAGTAGTAGTAGTAGGAGTCGGAGTACGAGTACGAGTACGAGTAGTATAGTAGTAGTAGTAGTAGTAGTAGTAGTAGTAGTAGTAGTAGTAGTAGTAGTAGTAGTAGTAGTAGTACTAGTAGTAGCAGGAGTAGTAGTAGTAGTAGTAGAAGTAGTTGGCAGTAGTTAGTAGTAGTTAGTAGTAGTTAGTAGTAGTTAGTAGTAGTAGGTAGTAGTATTAGTATTATTAGTAGTAGTAGTAGTAGTAGTGTTGTAGTAGTAGTAGTGTAGTGGTAGTAGTAGTAGTAGAAAAGTAGTAGTAATAGTAGTAGTAGTAGTAGAAGTAGTAGTAGTAGTGGTAGTAGTAGTGGTAGTAGTAGTGGTAGAGTAGTAGTAGTAGTAGTAGTAGTAATAGTAGTAGTAGTAGGAGTAGGAGTAGGAGTAGTAGTAGGAGTAGTAGGAGTAGTAGGAGTAGTAGGAGTAGTAGCAGTAGTAGTAGTAGTAGGAGTAGTAGTGGGGGTAGGAGGTAGTAGGCGGTAGTAGGTGGTAGTAGGTGGTAGTGGTGATGATAGAGATTATGTTGGAAGATGATGTGAGCAGATGTCCTTTGGAAGAAACCCTTCGCAGGTGCTTTCAGGAAAAATTGCCCTCTGTCAACTTGGTGTTCCTCTAATACCAATAATGAAATGCATCTCTGATCGCTGCTAATGTTGCAAAAGTCTTCTGCGCCGTGGCCTTCTGCACCATGGTGACGCCCGCAGCTGCAAACGCACCCTTCCAACCGAAGCCAATCAATGTGGCAGTAGGCATCACCTGCATTCCCACACGGCGTGGCGTCTGTCGGTTTGAACGCAAAGTCGCATTTTACCATCCCCAACCCTAAAAATCTAGTAAACACACGCAAACCGCATGAATGGCGCGAGCTTCTTCAAGGAAACTCCGCTCCCCCTTCAAGATGCGTGAGCTTTCTTGCATCCTAAGCAATAGCTTCCTAGGCCTCCAAAACAGAAAGAAAAACTCAGAATCCGACCATTAAGCGCAGATTTCGGTCGAAGACAGGCCCAGTGCAATCCAGATCGGCCAATGCATCGAGGCAGATCATGGTAGCCTTCGTCCCAGGCAAGGCTTGACAAGGACTTTGACTTTACAGGAAGGAAGCAAGAAGTCAAAGGCTTTTTGGCGCCGAGAAACAAAGCCTGCCCACGTCACGCCTGCCATGCAAATGGACGTCTGACTCTTCGGTCTTCCACACTTGGTTTGGTGCCACTCCAGCTTGGGTGAGGTCCACCTGACACGTCCCAGCCTAGTGCAACAACCAGAGCTGCAGCAACGCCCTGAAATGCTAAAACCTGCGCGAATCCGTGCAAATTTGAGATTGAACGCCACCAAACACGCGCAAGCTTCAAGGAGCGTGCGCAAGGGACCTACCAGCAACGCATGACGCAAATCACGAACGTCAAAGTCTCCCATGACCACATTGCCTCCGAAGTGAACCAAGTGGTGCTGTAGAACAACGCAAAGGCGACGCAATTTGCCATAATCCTACAACAATGCAACTGCAAATGATGTTGTAACACCAACAACGCATTGAAGATGAGCTGCGTGAGAAAAAGGCATTTGAACGGGGTCCTACCAAAGGACAAAGACCTACCAACGCCCGCGCACACGCGCACACGCACGATGCACCGTTTCGCTCGGCTCATCGCCCTTGCGAGAAAGAAAGGTCGAACATACCAAACGCTTGTCTCTGCTGTCACATGGCTCCCTCCGGCCCTCCAGTGTCAGAGGGAAGAGTTCAAGGATTGCAGGAGAGGTGCTGACGGTCCTCAAACTTGCCTGAAAAACCGTTGATTATGTCAGAACTATGTCCTAGTTTTTGATCAGCGATCCTGGCAACACAGTACGAAGTGGCTGAGCTTGGAGTTCAAAACGTTCAAAACCTTGCGTGGATCGAAATACGTGTCGGGCAAACTGCTCAAGCAACAGGACAAAGGCGTCTGATAGGGCAAAATGCCAACGAGTGACGGTCAAGAGAACCCACTTGTAGATATTGGATCGGTTAAGCTACGTCAGCAATTACGTCAGCTTCGCCGCCTGCAGTCCTTTCGAAATCGACTCAAGCAATACAGGCTATTGTTGCCTTCAGGAACCTTGCCTCCCGACTTGGCCCAAGAATGGGTGGCGATTGGTAAAGGTTCGGGACGGGGTAAAAGCTTTAAGTCGGAATTTCACCGAGGCAGACCCGTGGGAACCCTGAGGCCCTGATATACAGGATTCTCACCTCCAGTCCTTGTCAACCAGTCCACTTGGACCGATTTAAACAGCGGGACAAGTGTGGGCGACACCAAGCAGGTGTCTGGCCGAGTCGCCCACCGTGAGCCCTAAAAGCACGTCCACACTTCCTGCGCTTTTCTCGCTTGAAGGGGTGGGTTTCACCATCGGCTCGGCCATCTTCTTCAAGGCGTTGGCGAAGGCCATCGCGTGACCCGCCATCTTGCGGATCTGCTGCTCCAGAGCCTGAAACTTGGGACCGTGGACAAGTCGCCAGTATTGGCGCTGGGCAAAGAATTGAAGCAGTATACGTTCATTTTTCTTAAGACTTGCCCACAACGTCGCCAGGCGCCATGTTCACCCATCGAAGCTGCGCGCCCGCCTTGTTGCGGGTCATCGCGTTATTGAAGATTCGGCAGGTCCTCATGGATGTTGAAATATAGGGCAACGACTTTGCTTGGGGGTGGCCAACAAAAACCATGGCAGGGGGCGGCCAAGAGCCATCCAGCGCCATCAAGATTTACTGGCGGTTTTCGGTCAACAAGCGGGTGTGATCCCCCACGTCGTCGAGCAGCAGTTCAGGCCTTGGCCTATATCCAGCGCGAAGAGGTGGCAAAGGCTATGAATCATTGGCGCGACCTAGCTGCGAGAGGGCATGAACGCGCTCTCCTCATCTCATCAAGCAGCTGATGCTCAGAGTGCGTAGACAAATTTGCTCCACTTGCTGCGGGCACATGGTGCACCTGGCCCCCACCTAGCACAGCATAATCGCAACGAATGTTCTCATCTTGAACTGGCGGGCTCAAGGCAATGGCTTTGTGGCGAAATCCTTCGGCAGATCGCTCAACACTCCCCAAGTCATCAACACTTTTCCTTTCCCGAAGGGCCTTTCTTCTTGCCCCTAGCAACTCTCACTTTCGCCACAGCAGCCTGGCAGCTTTCGCCAGAGTTGATCGTTTTTTGTTGAGAGGGCAAGCTTGTTCCGCAGAACGATCTTGCAAGTCCTTCATCGTCCATCTCCACCATAGGTCTCCTCCAAGTCATAGGACTCGAAGCAGGGGCCACTCTTTACGACCACGGTCATAGGCGGAGGAAGGAAGTGAGTCGAGCCGCTACCCTGACCACTTCTCAAGTCATAAGATTCTCGTCCCACACTGGGATCCAAAGCTCCACCGCGCGAAGAATACCACGCTCCGCCTACCAGGACAAGGTCCGCGCACACGACTCGCCGTTTCCCTTGGCTCATCAAGATCTCTCTGGCCCGCCCTTCGCGGGAGAAAAGGTCACCATCAACCCTAAAAAGCACAACGATTGCTTCTATAGTTGCAAGTTGACGGCAAGACCTGAATAGTAAGCGTTTACATCCATGACTTGTTTTCTCTCTTTCTCTGCGCATTGGGATCGTGTCCGTTGGAAGACATGAAACGATGCGAACCCTATAGCCCACGCACCTGGAAACTGCTTGGATGCTCAATTAAACTATAGAGGGCTTCTGAGCTTCTGCATGAACGACCCCACATAAGTTCTTCAGCCCCAAAGCACCAAAACCTGTCAGCCAAGCGGCATTTTGATTCCTTAGGCTGGATAAGACAAGCAAAAGACCAATGACAACAAGAGCAAGAGAGAACAAAACACAAACGCCCAAAACACGGGCCGCAATTGCCAGGGCGCCGGTCTTGAAGCAGGATTCCTTCATCAGTTGCTCCAAAACAATAAAAATGATGATGTACAGAACGCTGGAGCCTCAGCTGCGAAATCAAGTATACGTCGAAGACTTGCGAAGGGCCTCACGCATCCAAATCGTTTGCGCGGGCGTTTGTCAAGGCCACGGGGCTGGCCAAGGAAATGATGTCGCTGCGCTCCACTTCCGTGCCAGGTCTCGAGGCTCCAGTCGGAGCTGGCAAGGTTCCGGTGAGGTGGAAGCGCACCCTGCAAAAAAACACGGTTTTAAAAAACGAAAAATTCCACACACACACACACACACACAACGCACATCTCAGGGAGAAGCAAAACGATGACAGGAAAGAAGCAAATGACATCCAAAGACTGAGACGAGGTGCGTTTGAGTGATGACGTGGGATACGGCAAGACCGATAACCTCAAATCTGCGCTGAGGCAATCGCAAAGACGGTATTCTATCGAGTGGCCATTCCACTCCCCTGTCGCCTGCTGCGTAAAATGTGTTTCGCGCTGCGTGGGCTGAATACTTTGCACGGGGCTACAAGGCACACCACAAGTGTATAAGTTGTTTGCCGGCGCAAAAAAAGAACCTGTCAAGTACACGCACACGCCTGTGGCATTGCTGCGCGTAGAATAACTTTTCTGAGTGTAGGAAATACTCCGCAACGAAGGCAGAAGGCACACCACAAGAGGCACACTACAAGCGCGCAGGCTGCCGGCGACAAGAGAAACCCTGCTAGGCACACGCGACTGCTTGTGGCATTGCGGCGCATCTAAATTTTTCAATGGTGCGTAAAAGGGCTTCTCCGCAACCGCGCACCACAAGTGCAAAAGCTGTCGCTGACGCAGAAACGTCCTGCTAGGCGTACGCAGCTGCCTGTGGCCTTGCTGCGGGTACAACTTGCTTTGCGCTGCGTAGAAAGACTGCTACGTAGCAGCTGCGCAAACGGAACAGCTGTTGACCAAGATACCAACAGCCAGCGAGGGCCAGTCCACACTCCAACGAAAGCCGCTGGCCACAGCACAGTATGGCGAGCTGCTCGGGATCTCAGGGCTATCTAAGTCCAGTAAGCTCAAGGGGATGCCGGTGCCGAGAGCTCGAGGTGCGTTCATTCTTGACCGGTGCCGAAAATAGAAAGCCATGTTAAGCATACCTTCCCTTTAGGTACACACAACTGCCTGTGGCCTTGCCACGCATACAACATGTTTTGCGCTGCAACGAGAGATTGCTTCGTAGCGGGGACAGAAGGCACACTACAAGTACCAAAGCTGCTGCGGTTGCAGCTACGGTCCTAGGCACAACCTGACGACGTTCAAGGCGGGCACCCAAGGTTCCAAGGTTGGAGGCTTGCAAGATGGCAGCACCCAGGGTTCCAATCCATGAGTACCAAATCAGTCTAGCGACCCCATTCCTAAACTCAAGAAGTTTATAATATATATATATATATTCATAAAGTTGCACCGCACGCACTGGACGGTCACGCCGGGATAATATATTCATAAAGTGACACCTGCACCGCACGGACTGGACGGTCACGCCGGGACTTGTTTCCTCGCTGCTTCAAAGCTGCCACATTTTCTGTCTCATCACTGAACTTGTCAAAGGCTTCCTCGTAGATATCAATCATTCCATCATTTAGCCTTGCTGGAAAGTTCACACCAAGAGAAACCGTCGAAGTGCACTATGAATACTTCTTGGCTAGCTTGACCTGTTTACTTCTCAAAGAGAATGTCAACCAAGCTTCATTGCCAAACGATAGCGAACGCCTCAAAACAAATGCTGTATGTCAGTATGTCACGTCTAGACGGTGAGTTTGACTTCTAAAGTGGTAACAGTAACCAAAGCTCTTGTCCAGCATTCTTTTTGGGGCTGCACAATCATTGCAGTGAGCAGAGATGCGATTCCGAATTTGATGAACCCGTGCGTCGGTCAAAAGATGGGTGAGCCAAACCGCCGAGAAAAAGCGAGCTCAAGAGAAAAAGAACCTTCGAAGCTTGGCACAATCTGTTCCATTGGCACAATCTGTTCCATTTCAGCTTTGGCTCTGTCACCCACGGCGTAAATGGCATGGAGGCTCAAGAACGTGATCTCAGCTCAAGCGCCAATTGCGTGTAATCGTGCAATTGTGGTGCCCCACAGGCTCCAACTTCAACCAAGGCGCCAAAGGCATCCTTAATTGTGTAAGTCAGCGCGCACACATGTTGCCAGCATTGTGTGTCCATCTCTTCTTGCAGGCCCAAGCTCTAAACAAAGCTGATGCGTGCCCTTGACATCCTGATATACTATACTGATATCCCAATGCGCGCTGCCGAAGTTTCAAATACAATATAAGCAGGTTAGACTTGTAGTAGTCCTGGCACCCGCACAAAAGACTTCTTGGATGGCCATCCAAGAAGTATTTGTTTTTTTGGTTGAGTCTTGCTCTATTTGTTCTCCCACGAACCCTCAGATGCTTCCTGGATCAAGCTGAAGAAGGACATGGATGAGCTGCCTGGACGGACGCAAACGACAAGCTGTCACTGGCAGCTGCAACACAGGCCTGTAACAACGCCTAGCATCACGGCCCAGCATTTCCTTGTCAATCACAGATTGGAAAAACGGAGGTCGCAGCCACACGTCGTGAACACCGGCTAAGCCCGCATCAAATTGAGCACCATTGACTTGAAGTCCCTTGATTTGTTGCCTGACCAAGAAAAATTGAAAACTATTGAAAAGGCTTAAAACGTTGTCAAACAAATGGCGTTCGGTGACTCATGATCTGAGCTTGGTCTCGATCATTTCCTACAAAGGCCTGTGATCAATCCACACATGTATGCCAGCAAAAATTGAAGGACCAAATACCAACCTTGGCCATATTCTGGGTTCAACAAAGCTGCTCCATCTGAAGGCTGCTCGACAAAGACTGCTAACAGCTCGGATGACTGAGGCCCCATCCAATGGCCAACATACCTCATTTGCATCCAATCCACTCGACCAACTCGAAAAACTCGACCCGGCCGGAATGCAGACCAAAAAAAGATATAATGCAGAACACGGTGGTTGAAATGAATAAAGCCGCGCTGCCAAAGGCCTTGATCTGGCCTGAAGAGGGGGGGCAGTCACAGCCAGCACCAAGCGACTTGCAGGTTTGTCTATGCGGTTTCATGTCCCTGAAAGTGCAATTTTTCAATCGTCTTCTCAAACATTTTCCTTTGACAAGCGCAAACAAAGGGTGACCAATTGTAGAGCACAACGCACGTTCTGGCCAAGAGTTGTCGATGTCAACAGAAAAGTTTTTTGACAAGAACACAAATATATATATATA